TGTCAAAGATGCCTTGCCAATGTCCATGTAGCTTTGGACAGGACCAGAATGTGTGCAGAAGTGTGGCAGGAGATTGTCCGCAGCGATCATACGACGGATCCAAGTCCCTTTTGAATTTGCACAATCTGTCCTTAGACCAGTGTAGACGATGCACTACCTTGAATTGAACTATAACATGTTTCACACATATTGAGGACGAATATATATTTTGAATAATTTTTTGCCAAACTGTGTCTGATATGGATTCCTCCAAGTCCATCTCCCACTTGCCCTTCAAAGAATCTAAATTGGAGTCAGAAAATGAGCTGAGCAGAGAATAAACTGCTCATAGAGCATTTTGTTACAGACTTACACATCAGAATCTCATCTATAAGAGAAGTAGGGGTGCGTAGAGGAAAACATCCAGAGTTTGGCATTACAAAATGTCTCAGTTCTAAATACCTGAAGAACTGTGACTTATGGATGTCAAATTTCTGTGCTAACTGTTCAAATGAGGTGAACTTATTGTTTATATAAAGATCATTCAGAGAGGTTATTCCCTTTAAACTCCAAGTATTGAAAACAATAACCTACTCCTTAACATCTCCAAAACAAAGGAGCTGGTGATTGACTTTGGGAAGAACATAACTGACATCCAGCCTCTCACCATTAGTGGGACCTGTGTGGAGAAGGTCCCTGTGTGGAGAAGGTCCCAGTGTGGAGAAGGTCCCTGTGTGGAGAAAGGTCCCTGTCTGGAGAAAAGTCCATGTGTGGAGAAGGTCCCTGTGTGGAGAAGGCCCCTGCGTTCAGGTTTCTGGGTATGAAGTTGGAGGACAACCTATCCTGGAGCACCAACACCAAGGACCTGCTGGCAGGGCTGCCTTAATGCACGGGCTTACCTGGGCTGAAGCCCAGGGGCCTACAGTATTGTGGGGCCTACCGTTTTGAGATCACATGATGAGCTGAAAAAGTTACGTCGTTTCATAACTTGTCAGGTTTTCTGTCAATCATTACAGATGCATATCTGTGGCCACTGATTGGTCCAAACTAATAGTAAACCACTTGGGCTCACAGAATCTGACCAATCAGAAAGCATATTGTTAGTTTGGGGGTGTGTACTTTGATGATTGACTGACATCTGCCAACATGTAGGGTCAAGGAAGAACTTTGTGAATGGTGGTCCGGCCGGGAAAGAAAAAGTGTGGCAGAAAACGCTGCACAATGAGAAGAGTTGTCAGTCAGTGATGGTCTGGGGTGCCATGTCAGCTGCTGGTGTTGGTCCACTGTGTTTTATCAAGGCCAGGGTCAATGCAGCTATCAGGAGATTTTGGAGCACTTCATGCTTCCATCTGCTGAAAAGCTTTATGGAGATGAAGATTTCATTTTTCAGCACGACCTGGCACCTGCTCACAGTGCCAAAACCACTGGTAAATGGTTCCCTGACCATGGTATTACTGGGCTCAACTGGCCTGCCAACTCTCCTGACCTGAACCCCAGAGAGAATCTGTGGGATACTGTGAAGAGAAAGTTGAGAGACACAAGACCCAACACTCTGGATGAGCTTAAGACAT